TTTCTTAGTAACATTTTTTATGATATATCTTCTTGGGAAAGGGAAACAAAAGAAAAAATAAACAAATAGGACTACATCAAACTGCCCTTATTTGCACCACAAAGGAAACCGTTAACAAAATGAAAAGACAACCCACTGACTGAGAGAATATGTTTATTAATGATATATGTGATAAGGGATTAATATCCAAAATTTATAAAGAACTTATAAAACTTAACACCAAAAAACAATCTAATTTTTAAAATGGGCAAAGAATCTGAATAGATACTTCTCCAAAGAAAACATACAGATGGTCAATAGACATATAAAAAGATGCTCAATGTCACTAATCATCAGAGAAATGCAAATTAAAACCACAGTGAGATATCGCCTCACATTGGTCAGGATGGCTACCATCAATAAATCAACGAACAATAAGTGGTGATAAGAATGTGGAGTAGAGGGAACCCTTGTGGCAGTAAAGTAGTAAGGTATAGAATAAATATCTAGAAATTGTTTTCAATTTTATACATCAATAATGAACTATCAGGAAGGGTTGGTGGGAACACAGACTAGTGCAGCCACTATGGAGGGTCCTCAAAAAATTGAAAATGCAACTGTCTTATGACCCAACAATTTCTCTTCTAGGTGTATATCTGAGGAAACCCAAACACTAATTCAAAAGAATATATACACCCCTATGTTCATTGCAGCATTATTTACAATAGCCAAGACATGGGAGTAACCCAAGTGCCCATCAACAGAGGAGTGGATAAAAAAGCTCTGGTCCATATTACAATAGAATATTACTCAGCAAAAAACAAACAAAAAAGAAATATTACCATTTGTGACAGCATGGATGGACCTACAGTGTATTATCCTCAGTGAAATAAGGCAGTCAGAGAAAGACGAATACCATATGGTTTTACTTATGTGTAGAATCTAAAGAACAAGATTAACAAACAAACAAAACAGAAATAGACTCATTGACACAGACAACAAACTGATGATTTCCCAGAGGGGAAGCAGGTTGGGGGACTGGTGAAAAGGTAAAGGGATTAAGAAGTATAGATTGAGGGGACTCTTTTCCCCCTCCTTACGTGGAAGTCAGTTCTGTAGGACTCTTCCCCCTCCCTACGTGGGAGTCTGTACTTGTTCTTCAATAAATCTCCACCTTTGCTATAAAAAAAAAAAGTATAGATTGAGAGTTACCAAATAGTCATGGGATGTAAAGTACAGCTTAGGAAATCTATACTAATAAAAAGTAATATGCTAATTAGACTGGACATCTTCTGGATGACCTTCCGGATGTCCTTCCTGACAAAGCCAGGCCTGGGTGAAGCCGCCCATGGTCCTAGGCGCCTGCAGCTGCAGCCAACCTGGGAGAAGCCAGGCCTGGGTGAAGCCACCCATGGTCCCAGGCACCTGCGGTCAACCAGAGAGATGGAAGCTTGGGTCCCGGGTGCCTGAGGCCAACTGGAGGAGGGAATCCTGGGTCCCAGGTGTAGGGGCCAAGGCAGAGGCGGTTAGGAGTGATCAGGCTGGCAGGGGAGCAGTTGAGGGTGATCAGACAGGCAGGCAGAAGTTGTTAGGGGCGACCAGGTAGGCAGAGGTGGTTGGGGGCGACCAGGCAGGCAGAAGGGTTAGGGGAGATCAGGCAGGCAGGCAGGCAAGTGGTTAGGAGCCAGCAGTCCCGGATTTCGAGAGGGATGTCCAAGGGGTCCCAGATTGGAGAGGGCACAAGCTGGGCTAAGGGATCCCCCCCACACACACGAATTTCGTGCCCTGGGCCTCCAGTCCTATCTAATAATAGACAAACATGGTAATTGACTGTACCTTCGCTATGCCTCCCATTGGCTAATCAGTGAGATACAAAGATGGTGGTTAACTTGCATACGTAGGCACCAAGCAGTGGAGCAAACACTGAAGGCGGCTCCAGCCAGAGTGAAGTCCTGGGTCCCGGGTGCCAGAGGAAAACCAGTGCCGGCAGCCAGGGGAAGGGAAGGCCTATTGCACAAATCTTTTCTGTGCACCAGGCCTCTAGTATAGTTAATAATATTGTAATAAATATGTATGGTGCCAGATGGGTACTGGAAATACCAGGGGGAATACCTTTTAAAGTACAGATTGTCTAATAAAACAAATTTAAAGGGAGAGAGAAGTTAAAGGCACTGAAGGTCAGGGCATGGAAGCCATAGCATAAAACAATATGAAGGTGAACGAACCCCCAAGAGAACATGAACCCCTAGAGGGGCTTGCTGATGGCCTGGAAAGGTATTTCAAGAGCCTCAAAGTTGCAGATGGAAGGTCTCTGCAAGGTTGCCTTGGCACATTGCGAGGCCTGAGTGTGGTGCAGCCACATTTAGCTGAACGTTCAGGCCAAATCCCTTCAAATTCCCCCCCTCATCATCTCCAAGATCCATTTCTTTCTCTTCAGCCTCGTGTCATGCCTCCAGCTTAGAGTAATGCGAACCGACCCCAGCTGGCCTCGGCAGTGCTGGACTTTGTCCCCAACAGCCCCTCCGGTCTGTATTTTTCAAACTAATCTTTTTTAAGCCCCTCTTTCCCCATATCCTTCCCTTTCTAATAAAGAAAAGAAATAGGCTCTTTTGTAAGTGGAACTGTCAGCAAGGCTATCTCGTAATCCAGGCACCTTTCATCCTGGTATTTTCTCTGAACAGGTTGTTTGTATCCCTGGTTCTAAAGCTGACATCAAAGCCATTGCCAGCCAGGACCTACAGCCTAAAAGGGTATTTCCTGGGTTTACCGGAGCTGAATCTATAACTATTTCTCACCACGAAAAGTCCTCATCCTGCTCTGCCTCATCCAGCCGAAGGAGAGTCTACATATTTTTTAGCATATAAAAGAAATGTCCAACATTGACAGTTTCCTTTAAATTTTCTAGCACAAGTATACACTGCATATTCAATTTTCGTTCCTCTAAACCAGTGGTGGGCAAACTCATTAGTCAACCGAGCCAAATATCAACAGTACAACGATTGAAATTTCTTTTGAGAGCCAAATTTTTTAAACTTAAACTATATAGGTAGGTACATTGTTATTAACTTAATTAGGGTCCTCCTAAGGCTTAGGAAGAGCCACACTCAAGGGGCCAAAGAGCCGCATGTGGCTCGCGAGCCGCAGTTTGCTGACCACGGCTCTAAACCAAAAACAGATTTTATTGTTTTTCTTTTTAAAAATTCCTGCCTTTCCTCTTGTGTACTTTACCTTCCTAGAAAAATTGCTTAATGACTTATTCATGGTATTATACATTTTTATGATCTTTTTGCCTAAAATATATTATGTAATTTCTCTAAACTTTATAGTGTCGGGCTAATAACTGATGTCCAAGTAAAACTGGCCCATCCTATTACGGCATTTCTTTACGTTGTTTTTCTTGGGCTGGAAACGCGTGGCCTTGCCTCAGTGACGTGGTTGTGATGTTTGTGTTGATGTGGCCGTTCCCTTATTCCACTCCTAACACCAGCAACACCCAACAGGTACATCCACCACAAAATCCACCTATGCAGTGAAGCCCCTTCATGGCTTACCTCTTTAACTCATGCAAAATGAGGAGATAAAACTTCTATGTGTGGGGATTAGTAG